CTTGGTGAAGCTGGATGATATCTGAGCAGCCTACGTATTTTGGAATTCAGTCGAAAGCGTCTCAAAGCTACGATATCATTTGATTCTCTAATAATTTTACACACACATATATGCTACATTATATCTAATCCTGACGGATTGGTGTGGGTTCGAATTTGGCCGAAGCAACGACGATAACAGGGACATCTTGTTCAATTATGCTTACCAAGTTCCTGTCTCCTCGACCAGACGATCTCTCTCAGGCTCAGCCGCATTCTCCAGCAGTAACTATGCGTAACTTCTATCCTTTGCTTGCTCAGAAGCGAGAGTGCCTTAGGCAGGATCGATTATGACAATCGCTGCATCAAGCCTCCGCCGCTTTCGCCCTTCTTGATTCATGACACACAATGCCATGGGAGGATGGTTTGTTCGAGTTCGGCCTTGACATTTGTAAGAAGCAATTTTTATGATTTTCAGGATGGATGGATTCTAATAGTTGTCTCAAATATCAGCCATGATGTTAATTGGGATCCAATCCAACTTGAATGAACCGACGACCCTATTTGTTTACCGCATGCAAAATAACAGGAGCTTGAAGCAATCTTGGCGTTCTAAATGGAGATAAGCGTGGCATATATATATAAGTATTTCGAGTTATTTTCGATATCCTACATTTCTTGCCCTACGGCTCAGTGCATGAAACGACCTCCTCACCTGGAACCGTTTGTCTCCCCAGAACAACCGGCTACATAGGTGGACAATTCCTAATCTATCTTACCCAGGAACTACCAGATCTTCGTGTTGTAGCTTTATGTCGTGCTCCCATTGCAGAGAAAGAAGCCAAGTTGAAGACCATTAATCCCAACATTTTGATAATAGAAGGTACCCTAGAAGATGACGCCGTTATCCAAGAGCAATGCGAAAAGGCGAGTTATGTTATTAATGTTGCCAGCTCGGACTACCATGCGAGTGTCGCTTGTGAGTTCGCTCGTTTAGTCTTGGATAGATTTGACTCATTCATTCTTTGCACATTAGCGACTCTCGCTTCCCTTGAAAGGAATTCAGCCAATAATCCAGGAAAACATAATCCAGGAAAACCACCTCTTTATATCCATATTTCAGTCTAGGAACAACAAGTGACAATTGTGAAGGCGAATACTTACCCCTTGAACAAATCCCTCAGTACAAAGATGTGGACGACTTCAGCTTGGATGATTGTCCACCTGAGAACGCACATTTAGAGAGCGACAAAGCTATCGTTGCGGTAGGTACCACCGAGGAAAATCCAATACGAACTATTATTCTGTTTCCTAGGTGGGGTTATGGGGTTACTGAAAGTGTGCATATATAATCCTCATTGAGGCGATGATTATTAAATTTCGTTTTTAATTTGAAGGGCCACAGAATACTGCCCTTGGTATTCGGCTGCTCAGCGCCATGTTCAAAGGGGCTAGATATGCTGGAACACTGGGTCCGGATCGTAATAGGCTACCTATAATTCATGTGAAGGATACCGCAAGAGCTATTCTTTCCGTCTTCAAAGCCGCCTTGGAGGGCAAAACTGATGAAGGTTCAGAAGGGTTATGTGAGTTTCTTCGTAGTCCTTACGCTAGGCAATATCGCTGAACATCTTGTTTTCTCAAAGATTTTGTATCAAGCGATGAACCCAGCATGAATATGAAGACAGTCACTGAGAAAATGGGTGATGTATGTATACTATAGATGAAATGTCATTTTACACACCATGATCTAATTGCTCATATAAATCTTTTCTTTCTTTTTGCAGATTATGTATGCACGGGGCTTGTTTCCTGAAGGAGGCTCGAAACCGTTGCCTAAAGAGGTTGTAGACCTTCTAGGATCCAGTAAGTTTTCCCTCTAATTAGGTTTTGTTTTCCTCGCTGATAACGGGTTTGATAGTTGGATGGTCATTATTAGGCGGAATCTTCAATGATACTGCAAACGAGATAAAACGTCTCGGATGGGAGGCCATTGAAACTAAGAAGATCTCGTTCCTTGATTCCTTGGTGCAGGAGATGGAAATCTTCTTTGCTAAGGATGGATGAACGCAAGGCTTGTATTTCCGAATCCAGTCAAAAACCCAAGAGTCGAAGGTATGGTGTCATTCGATTCTTTGGTATTTTTGTACATACAGTAAACTTATGCTGCGTTCAATCTAATCCTCACGGCGTTGGCGTGAGCCTCTAATCCCTCGCATTCGGCCAAAGTAACGACAACAGGGCCGACATTGTTCAAGCCTGCTCTCGTGATCTCTTGAGAAGTGATGTGCTTCTGGAATGCTTGTGTATTGACGCCGCTGAACTGACGAGCATAGCCGTTGGTAGGCAAAGTGTGATTTGTTCCAGAAGCGTAATCGCCACAGCTGCACTGTCTATGAGCTAATGATCCCACATAAGAATTAGAGTAATAACTCACCTTTCTGGTGTGTAAGGGCCGACGAATACACTACCTGCATTTTGAACTAAAGCCACCGTATCGCTGGCGTTCTCCAGATGGATAATGAGATGTTCAGGAGCATAATCGTTCGAGAACTCGAAAGCCTCTTTGACCGTCTTGACTTTCACAATGATACTCTTGGGGATAGACTGCCGAACAATGTCGACGCGAGGAAGAGCATTAGCTTGCGCGTTAACTTCTTTCTCTATCTCTGCAAGTAATTCGGCAGATAGGTCAACGGCCACCAGGATGACTTGGGAATCGACGCCGTGCTCGGCTTGAGATAATAAATCGGCCGCAACGAAAGCCGGTTTGGCTGTGTAATCTGCAATAACCTAAAGATCTATCAGAACACGCGTCGAGATGTTAATTATTCAAAACGAACATACCAAAACTTCGGATGGTCCAGCCGGCATATCGATGGACACCAATGCGTCGGTGTCATTTTGGACAACCATCTTTCCAGCAGTCACCCATTGGTTTCCAGGCCCAAAGATCTTATCCACCTTAGGCACAGTCTCTGTGCCATACGCCAAAGCTGCAATGGCTTGTGCACCACCAGCTTTCAAAATAGCGGAAGCTCCTACCAAATGGGCGACATACATGACCTCAGGCGATATCGAACCATCTGGTCGTGGAGGGGTAGCGAGGACAATCTCATGGCATCCTGCTACTTGAGCGGGGACACCCAACATGAGAGCAGTAGAAGGCAATATAGCGGTTCCTCCAGGAACATACAGACCGACCCTAGCAATTGGTCGTGCAAAACGCGAGCATACAACACCTGGCATGGTCTCTACCGAGAGAGTGGCATCGGTGATCTGCGCTTTATGGAATTTGTAGACATTGGCATAAGCCTGGTCGATAGCCTTTCTGACTTCCTCCGAAATAGCCATGGACTTGGGATCATAAGGTGGGCGGATGACAGTCTCCTTCAGTTGAGATTTGTCGAACTTGGCGGCGAAGTCAATGAGTGCAGCATCACCTCGCTTCCTAACTTCGTCAATAATAGGCCGGACTTTAACCATCATTTCATCGAATTTCAATACAGGACGCTTGAGAAGCGCTGAGCGTTCGGTCGACGAAACCTTGGATAAATCGACTGTCCGCATTCGGATTTCAGACGAGTCTACAGGAGCTTGGGTGGATGCAGGTGTGGGGACGGGGGCGGAGACTGTCGCTGGAGCAGCTTGTTTTGTCCATTGAGGTTTGGCATTACCAGTTCTTCGAGAGACCTTTCGGGCCTTCTTCTCCAAGGACTTCTCAATGTCGGCAATACCGACACCGTTCGCAATGCACTTTGTGAGCGCAAAGTAGAGTAAGTCAGCCGCCTCAAATGCAATATCCTCTTTAGTCTCGGCTCTACACAGTTCGTCCGCTTCCTCCATAATCTTGGATTGCAATAGATTAGAGTCATTGAAAAGGCGTGATGTATAAGAGCCTTCAGGTGCGGATTCGCGCCGCGAACGAAGGGTTTCCTCCAAAGCCGACAATCCAGAAAGGTTGCCAAAACAAGATGCGGTTCCAAGGTGGCAGAATCCTGTTCCATGTTGAACTACGTTAAACTGCAAGCTATCGGAATCGCAGTCTACACTGATTTTGACGAGATCCTGGGTGGCTCCTGAAGTCTCTCCCTTTCGCCATAAGCCGTGTTTGCGACTTTGGTAGACACCTTTTCCTGTAACGATGGCTTCTGTGATGGATTCCTTTGAAGAATAGACGAGACCCATTGCTCTATCGCCATGGGTGGCGGAAGTTACGACAGTTGCGAAAAGGCCATCTGGACGGTCCGAGATCAAGGGTGCAGTAAACGCTTCACCCAGATTAATCTGAGATGATGTCGATTCAGATAGGGTAAGGGATGAAGTCGGGATGACCAGGGATGCATTCACACTCCTGAGTTCGCGAACCACGGAAACCGAAGGCTTCTGGGCACCATTCAGGAGGACAAAAATGTCGGCACCATCCAAGAAACGCTTGACGGATGAGACCAGCTCAACATCAAGGGTTGAAGACTTCAGTAATGCTCCAGAGATTCCCTTCAGATTATTCGAGATAGCACTAATGCTATTTGCATCGAGCAAAACGACAAGCCTCTCCCTCGGCACACTATCCACTAGACTCTTCGCGATATTCGAAGGAACAACGACCTTCAAGGCTCCTTGATCCAACCATGTATATATATCGGCTGCTGAGGGGGCAGGAGAAGCTGTATCGATCAAGACATAATAATCCCTGGAGCTCAAGGACGAAGGGAGGGCTGAGGATGGAACGAGAATGGGGCCAAATCTTGAAGCCGCCGTGGCGATTGCATCGTTGGGTTCGTCGAGATAAGGGAGGAAGACGACAGACATTTGCAGGGAGTCGAGGAAAGCAGATCTGAAGATCACTTCGCCTTGGCGCCAAAGGTGGAATGCGAGTCATTCCCACTTCGTCCGCTTGGACTTTGCGCAGTAAACCATAGCTGATTTCCTTGCAGATTACAGAAAGGTATAGAGCTAGAACATACGATTTGGCAAGCATACATCCAGTAAAAGTCTGTTTTCAGCGGCAAAAGCAAACGCAGGTCCCACCCGGATTCGAACCGGGTTCACGAAAAAACTTTGCGCTTCAGAATCTCGGGGAATAACCACCACCCCATGGGACATTATTTTCTCGATTTTTTCATGTATTATTCGGTGTACGTACGATTGAAAAAAAAATGAGCTGAATTACAGCATAGTTGTTCTTGCCTAGAGAGAAATCCCGACATAATAGACTAGCTGAGTAATACCAACAACGGGTTTTATGGGGTAGCGGTTAGCCCCCGAGATTCTGACTTGAGTCTTCTCGTGACCCCGGTTCGAATCCGGGTAAGACCTGTCTTTTTTCTCGTTCCGCTAGGGAAGTTATTTTTAGACCGCTTCCATCGTAACGCGTACAGCTTGGCCACAGTCCCGTTCACCGTGTAATTCTAAACTCTCTTCTCTTTACCTTAATTATCTCCATTTTGGACCACACTCTACTCCAGTCATGCCGCCTCGTAAACGCCAACAATTTACACAAGAGAGCATTGACAACCAGCTACAGCAGATACACCTACTGGACACTTCGTCTAGTTCGGAGAACTTGGAGCAACTGGGTCCAATTATCAAGCAAATACATTCTTCCAGGCAACAAGAGGCATTCCTACGAACGGTTAAAGGCCTTATAGAATCGAAAGACAGGGAAATTGAGAAGATATGTGCGGACAACTATCAAGACTTCGTGTCGTCTGTCTCGACTCTGCTCACGATCCGCTCCAATACCCTAAACTTACGCGAGAAGATTACTAGTCTGGATGCCAGTGTCTCTTCTGTGGGACTCGGTTTGGCTGATAAGAAGAAGAGCTTGTTGAAGGCGAAACAAACTGCTTCCCATTTGGATCAAGCCATTGATGCAATGCAGTCTTGTTTACGGGTCTTGGACCTTGTTGACCGAGTTGGGAGATTAATTCGGCAGGGGCGCTATTGGAGTGCATTACGGGTTAGTATATATAACTAGCATTGTATTATAATCTAATCGGAAATATAACAGTCACTTGAAGATATACAAGCTCTCCCTCAGTCTTCTTTATCCCAAACACCGTTCTTCACTCATATCCTATCCTCCTTACCGTCCTTGCGTACTCAAATCAAAGAAGCTGTAACCGCATCCAAAAGTACATGGCTATTGGAGATCAGGAATATCAGCGGGGAAGTAGGCCGGTTAGCTCTGGAAGCCATGGACACTCGAACCCGTAAATGGCGGTCACGGCGAGAGAAAGAGCCTCTGCTAAGATTGAGTCGAGTGGGAAGCTCTGTAGAAATGGTCACAAATGAGAAGATAGAATGTGAGCGCGTTTCACTTTGGATGGAAGTTACAATCACTCATGTTTCGCATTAGACGATGTTCTCGAGAATGAACACCTTCGAGTGGACTTTAAGCCGTTGTACCAATCTATCCATATCTATACTGCCCTTGATTCACTCGAGGAGTTACAACGTTCATACCAGGCTGACCGAAAAGTAAAGCGCGTGTTTAATGTGCTCGAGGTTCCGTGCTAATGTTTTGTTATAGGCACAATCTAGTCTCATTCTACCAACTCCCCTCACCTTAGCTGCCCTCCCGACCCTTACTCAAGAGATAGTCGGCTTCTTCATTATCGAGTCTCATGTCCTGCGCACAACCCGCGGTTTCCGCAGCGAACGCGAAGTAGACGAGCTATGGGATAGCGTGGTGTCACGGTTAGGAGACGGGTTGAACCAAACATTGTCCTCAGAAACCAGCCCAGAGGTCTTCTTGGATGTCAAAGAAGAACTCATTGGCTTCAGTGCCACTTTGGAGGTTCGTTTTGGGTGATATGCCTGATTTACAGTATCCTGACTATCTTATTGTGATAGGGCTATTCGTATTCATCACAGCCGCTGCATTCTCTCCTGTTAACTCTCTTTGCGAAATACGAATTATTATTGGAGGCGCAATACGGCAGACGGTTCTACAATGTAAACAATTGCAACAATATGAAATACGACCCTGACTAATGTAAACCTACAGATCATCAATCAAGATGACTACCTTCCAATGCGGGTGGAAACTCAGAAAGATCGGGACACTGTATTAGCGGCAGCTTGGTTAACAGATGCAGAGGACGCGGAAATAAGACAGTGCGTACGGTTATTACTGGAATTAAAGCAATGACTGACATACTTCAAAATAGAGCTGCGCTTCCTATGAATCTTCCATTTTCACAGACATTCTATCTATGCTGCGCTGATGTCTGTTATGTTTCCTTATTTTCTATTGTGCAATCTATTAACGGCTTATTCACGCACAGATACGCACATTCGTTGATAAATATTACGAGTTCCTCGAGGGTGTATCTCAATACCAATGGGATGTCGACGATATGCTCGGAAGGGTACGGGTTTTCTTGACCTTATATTCCGTTTTTATGTTAACTGTTGCATTGTAGACCATTGATCGATTGCTTATGGGGCACGTTAACAACCGCATTGCTGAACGCCTGCCTGCGTTATCCGGTCTCAGTCAAATCGCCCAAGTTGTCGCCAACCTCGAATATTTTGAGAGTGCATGTCATGTGCTCGAAAACAAGATCACAAGCATCCGGTGAGCCATACTCAGGAACTAACACACACTTTATTCCTGATAGTCATATTTGACAGATCTTCCCATCGTGGTGGAGGAAAGATACACCTGACATCTACCAGCAAGTTCTCAGAAACTCAGAAACAAGCCTTTGGACGCATCGATAAGGTCATTTCATCTAAGCTGGATGACTTCTTTGAGCTATCAGAATATGAATGGACGCCTAAGACACGGGAAGACATGCCTAGCATGTATCTATACGAATTGGTCAACTGGCTGACAACAGTGGTTGATGGACTGACCGTCAAGGATGCATACAAAAGTGAAGCGTATAAAGGAGCAGTTGACCATGTCGCAACTAGTTTAATGGTAATAGTCCGACTTCGTATTCTGCCAGAATAAGTAAAATTGATGTTTGTGTACAGGATTTCGTCACTGGCCGCAATGTGGCGGCTATTAATGACAACGGGCTATCTAATCTACTGGTCGACATTGACTTCTTAGATGGAGAACTAAAGAGGATAGGTAGAAGCTACTTGAATGCCGCCTTCTCCGAACTCCGAACTGTGAGTGCCATATCCTGTCAGGCTGCTAGAATGCTGGATTCTTATTACCTCCTAGATGTGCTCCATCCCTCTTCAAGATGCCGTTCAGAAATACTTGGTCCCAAGCACACGCCAGACATTATACAGTGGCATTAAGCCGAAGAAGCTAGCGGCGTTGTTAGAGAAGATGGCGAAAGCGGGTTTGAGTAGCCGCGAGTCTGCACAGAGAGAGAAAGGGACTAGACGTCAACGAGAGGCTGAAGCAGTTGGCAGATTATTCCCCGGAGAGAGTAGATAATTCACATGCTTGTGAATTGGTTCCGAACGCAAGATTCCTCTATTACATATTTTGTACGAGTCATCTCATAGGCATACATAAAGAAAGGGGGAGAATATGTAAGAGTATATACGGCAATGTCCTTACATCTTTAAGGACAAGTCCGAGTGTATCGAGGCTGCCGAACGATTAAGTAGCGCGCCTACTGATGTTGGTGCTCAGCCATTCCAGACCCTCATACAGACCATCTCCACTTGTCGCGCATGCAGCCTATGAAAAGAAGTTAAGCAATTGTCTCGAATACTCTGGCAGATAATAAACTTACCTGAATATACCACGATCGTTGCCTCAATCCGTGCAAGCCCAATTTGTCAGTGATCTCGGCTGCGTTCATAGCGTTCGGCAGATCTTGTTTGTTAGCGAAGACAAGTAAAACAGCATCACGGAGTTCGTCCTCGTTGAGCATACGCTGCAATTCCTCGCGCGCCTCAGAAACACGCTCTCTGTCGTTAGAATCTACCACAAAGATAATTCCTTGGGTGTTTTGGAAATCTGCCGTGTGACTGAGTTAATGCTATCGAGACAAGCTTGCATTGACGTATACTCACAGTGCTTCCACAACGGACGAATCTTATCTTGTCCTCCGACGTCCCAGACGGTGAAGGATAAGTTCTTGTATTCGACAGTTTCAACATTGAAGCCTTGAGCGATATGAGCGACTGTGTCTCTATCGTGCTCATGGAGGAGCAGCACATACCAATGGTAGGAATGGTCGTAACGATCTCGCCCAACTTCAACTTATACAGAATCGTAGTTTTGCCAGCAGCATCAAGCCCGACCATAAGAATACCTGAATGTCATAAGTATGGTAAATGCCACTGTACGCTAATTTTGCTACGGTGATAATACGTACGCATCTCCCTCTTGCCAAATAACGCTGCAAATTATCCATGTGAGCAATCGCATTGAATGATGAGAGTAACTAGGAAGCAACTTACAGGAAAGCGCTGACATGAAGTTACCCATAGCTGCGGGATGGACGACGAAAGAGAGATCACTAGAAGTTACGGTGAAGAACTGGATGGAGTGGCGAGACTTAGCGCCGGAGAGTGACAGTGCGTCAAACTGCCTCAAGGCATCGCATACTGTAAGTAGACGTGGTATTACGTGTGCACATTACTGGCCACTAAGTATCTAGCTATGCGTATTAAATAAATATATACATTATAAGCTATGGATTATTACTATTATTATTATTATTACTAATTATTCAATCCCTGCTTCTGCAAGTATCGCATGTGTTCGTCGCGGTGCTTTCGCACTTCGCTGTCAACGGATCTCCTCCAAATAGGAATACCGATCTGTAGAGTATGAGAACAAATTGCCAATATGGAGAAAACGGTACGTACCCATGAAATTGCATTCAAAGCCATGTCAAAAAGAGTGTTGCTAGAGGGGGAATTACCTCTGTTTGCTGAGAGGAACAGCCTCGTTGAGAAGTCGACAGCATGCCTACTGTAACCCTTTGACACACCTAGGTTGGAAGAATTAATAAAAGTCCCAAAGGATAATATAAATGGCTCACCCTCTAAAATTCCTTCTGCGACTTGCTCAGGTTGTAGGCCTGAATCGGCTTCCTCGATCTTCTTCGTGACGGTGGGCTTCGTCTTGTTCTCTTCCTCGTAACCTGGGGAATAAATGGTGGAAGGGAAGAAGATGTGTACCGAGATTCCATAGAGTACAAGCTCAGATCGTAAGGTTTCTGCTAGGCCTATTTGTGGACGTTCAGTAATTGATTGCTGCCAGTAGAGTAGCTAGCTGAACCTTTCAGAGCATGCTTTCCAGGCGCATACGTGGAATATCCAACGAAACTCATTAAGCCCAATATAGAAGAGACGAATGCCAAACGTCCCTGGACGCCGTCGCGTACCAT